ATTATATTAAGTATAATAACTTTAAAGAACTACTTACCTGTTGTAGTATCTATTGGCCAACTCAATCATTTTAAGTAATTTTAAGTTAACTCACTTACTAGTTTGTTCATTACTATTTGTACTTCAAATGAGTAATTAATTATCTATTTAATAAATTGATCAATATTAGATTTCTGTAAGAAAACATTTCTGTAGAAAATATCAACCAATTTAATGTAATATAAAACAAATATTTCTTCATATTTCGAGTTTTGAAATTCTACGTGTACATTATTTATATTGATCATATGTATTGATAGATAAGATTTATTGTTGATTAATTGACAGATAAAATTTATTATTTGCCTATAGGGGATTACAAGAACTTCCGTTTATGATAAATATATACCTATATAATTGTGTTTTATGCACTGAAAAAAAAATTTGGTAATAACTACTTAGCAACTAATACAATTCAATTAAACGTTTGATGATAAGAATTTTTATATTTAGACTCATATAATTATTTTTATGACTTCTCTCTTATCTAATATATTCATAAGACGAAATCCAAGTTAAGTTATGAGTTTCTATTGTTAGAAATTTAAAAACCCAAGTCTATAATTAAGAAAATAACATAAAGGATTTCATAATCTAATTATTTATAATTACATATATACAAACTGAAAAAAAGAGTCTGGTAATAGTTAACAAATGTTGAATGAAATAATTCCAATCGAATTCGATTAATATAGATATAACCAAAAATGATTTTACTTTTCTAAATATTTCAAAAGTATTACCGGACGATTGATCATATTATTACGTTTGTACTTGATATATATTAAAAAAAAAATAATAAAATTATTTTTTGTTATATTAATTGAACATTATTTTGGTTAAAATTATTTCATTCAACATTTATTAACTATTACCAGACTCTTTTTTTCACGATTGTATTGTATTAATTGCTAAACATAATAGATAGCTATAAGTTTGAATTTATCGCGTCGTGTCATCAAATCACTTTCACATTTGAAATTAATTTCATTTAAAAATCGCATCAAATAAATAAATGTTGAGATATGATTGTGACAATTAATGACATATACGATTATGTTGTAAATTCTTTTGTATAACTTTGTACAATATTTTTAACTATCAATCTTTCTTATTTAAATAAAAAAAGAAAAGGTTGAAATAGATAAGAAATTATAAAATACCATGATATCTTGTATAGTTTGCGATATATTCTGGGATGCGTTCCAAAATGTTAACTACAGTAACAAACTTTTATGGACTACGTGACGTGAACTATAAAATTTTGATTACTGCAATGCACTGTAGTTTTGGAATGCATCCCTGGGGGCGACTGTCAAAATTACTTTTTCACAGTCTGTTTAAACGTTATAACATGGCCATTGGTCATTTATGTTTATTGTATTATCGTAAAAGCTGCATTTTAGTTTTACAGATAGCAGACAGTGTGTTTACATTATTTTGAGAAATATATTGATATTAATTTTATAATTTCTGTCTAACATGGAATGCGACTTCCAAATGATATAATTGAACTTTTGGTAAGGAAATATATGCATGTATCTAATAAAGTTGTATTATATACTATTTGATAAGTCTATATATCTCCTCCTTCTATTCCATAACCGCAATCTTTCTGTCTTTAATTTTTATGTGCGATTTAGATACTCAAAGAATTTCTATCTATGATGTAATTGGCTCTATAATTAATGAACTTGTATCAAAAGTAATTATACTACTTGAATATGTATTGAGTATTTCAATAAAATAAAATAAAATTCCCTTTTTTTTCTCTATTTATCAAAAGACATGCAAGGATTTGACAAGTGTACGCACAATGCCAGACTGCTTATTGAATGATAGCTGTTTATATAAATATGTTATAATGTGAGGAACAATTTGATATTTATATCTGTTCAATGTTTAATGAATTTTGTTCAATGAATTTCAAATTCTGTTTTCTTTATTAAATTTAAAGTTTATTTCTTGTCAAATATAGTCATATAAAAGGATTATAATTAGAAATAATACAATAACATTGCTCTTAATTTAATATTATTCCTAAATAATTTAACATTAGTTCTTAGTTTTAAGAGATATGGTGTACATATCTCATCACATCCTCGCAAAAAATAATACAAGTTTTTCAAATTTATGTATAGTATTATATGTAGATTGAGTTTTAAATAATTTAAGTATATTGGCCTTCAATCAGAAAGATGTAGTTGAATTCAAATATTTCTAAAAAAAAAACGACACAAAGAAAAATAATTTTTAGGAGTAACCTATAACAAAATTAATGTCTAACATCTGTCTATATTTAAAAAATTTGAAACAAATAATTTATAATTATCTCTAAATTAATTATTTAATATTGCTGCAAAAAATAAATAAATAATTTATTTTAAATATGTAATTTTCTTTTCTTTCTTCTAAATAATTTTATATATTTTGATTTGTGTCTTTTTTTCTTGTGGAAATGCGATAACTAAAGCTCGAATTTGGTTCAAACATAAATAATAATTCCGACAATATACTATCGTTAAATGTATTCAACGGCCTTGTAGTCATTCATGTTAAAATGTAGATAATTTTCCGCCCGAAGTAACGTTTTCTATGAATAAGGAAACAACAATGTTTCTTGCGATAGTCACGGTTATTATACGCAATTATGTAATATTTATTTCAAAACTTTTTTTTTACATTACGGTCACGAATTGTGCGATGCATGGCCTCGTCTTCCGGTTTAGTTCTCCAGTTTCTACGTCTTGTCCAGTTTATCGGCAATATCGATTAACTGCACGCCCGTGCATCCGAGTCGCGGCGCGAGAATTTTTATGCACCTGTTTAGATTCCATTTCACGTATCGGACCTCGCAGCAATCCGTTAAGACACATCACGTATTGGTTGCATGTGTATGCCTGCGAGAGTTACACGAAACAAAATGCACTTCGATATTTTTTACTTATTTCTTGGTATCAGTCTAACAAAGCATTCTTTTTCTCGTTAACAATGAAATAAATAATAAAAAAAAATTGAGGTCGTGTTTATTCCTCACATTTTAATGTCTTTAAATACGCATTTGTCTTGAAACACAAAATGTAATAAATTTTACAAACCATAAGAAATTAACTAATCATAATCTCCTCACTGTGATTTTTCAATATCTATCTATAATAAATCTGTGTTTCAAGATATACTCGTGGCAAAAAATGATATATCTCTGCTAAACTTGTTGTAACTGATTAGATATATTTATTAAGAAGTTTATATCTCAAATATTTCTCGAACAGTTCATCGGAAACACGGTAGTATCTCGACGCTAAGAACATGAGCACGATATAGTGCGAGGTCGTGTATCTACAGACGCGAGTCGATGAGCCAACGAGTTGTACCTGAGATTATCGAATCTCAATAACAATTGAACCGACCAAGTTATAAGTAGGTTCAGTTGACAGCTTAAATTTGAGTTATGTAATATATAATTTACATTACATATATTATAGCATTTTAGAAATAAATAAACGCATTTTTTCACAGTAAAGTATGAATATGGACTTTAATTTAAAAAATCAATTTGAAAAAACTTGCCTCTTGCTAATAAATCATGTAATAAGTGTGAACACAGGAAATATATTCAGAAGTTATTTCAAAATATTCGAAATGTTTTGTGCGACTATGACAACAATTTGAAAGATAAATTGTGACTGTATCCTTATATGAAATAAATAAGATATTATTATATTATGTTCAAATTTTAAGAATAATATATAACAATGATGTAAGAAATTATTTAAAATATAGGAAATTATTTAACATAAATGATAGCACATAATTTCGTATGTTCCAGTAGATCTTTATGTAAAATACAAATATATTTCCATTCAGCTCTTTCTATATACACATATTTTAATTCATACAATAAATAACAAAATTTATAATTATAATTATATGTTAGAAAATGCTTTAAATTATATATTTTTACAAAAAAGTTTTCTTCATTATTATGTAACTTCATTATTGTGAATTAATAAACAGAATACTTTAAATTGAAAAACAATATTTACTTTTTTATTGTTTAAAAAAATATTTGATGTAAAGCTTTTTAATAAATTTATCTAGTAAATATATCTAATCAGTTGCGATAAATTTAACAATCCTCAGAGATATATGTCATTTTTTGCCACGAGTATAAATTATTGTAAAATATTATATCTTAAGGAGAAAATAGAGATTATATTAAATGTTGTTATTGAACCATAAAAAATAGAATTAAAAGATTAAAGAACTGACGAGACCTCATGAATGAACGGAAATGTGATAAATCTGAGACATTCTGTTTTTCTGCAAAATTTATCATTTATGGCTTCATAATTGCAAAAGAGGATTAGCATTGTTTTTTTCATTCAAAATGTCACAGAAAGAAGGGAGTATCCCCACTCGTATTCCTCTCGTACCTCGTTGTGCCTTGCACAACAGCTATACTTCGTCACCGATTTTCAGTAGTTCCTCGGTCGTCTGATCATATTGCACGTAGCTAAAAAGCAATACTTAGCATTTTTACAGTGTACATATATATATATATATAAT